GATTTACTCTGCCTTACAGAAACCTGGTTGCAGCAGGATGATTATGTTAGTTTAAATGAATCAACACCCCAGTTTTCAGGCCCCTCTTCTGTGGAACCAGCTTCCAGTTTGGATTCAGGAGACAGACACTATCTCTACTTTCAAGATCAGGCTTCAAACTTTTCTTTTTGCTAAAGCATATAGTTAGGGCTGGACCAGGTGACCCTGGATCCTCACACCGAACACGATAGACACAAGCGAAAACGCCCCAGACGCCCCCAATTTGACGTGTGCACATTCGCACCTCGTCACGTGTCCAACACAAATCAATCGCGCCTCAAAATTGCATATTTTGACATGCGTGAACCGGAAATGTCGGAGGAAGTTGTGCCTGACGGTATCTTTGCAAGATGGCAGCTGTCGAGCTAGCGTTTGAGGAGAGAGTCTTCCTTCTGTATTTACTGTGGAGAGCAGAGCAGCAGCGTTAAGGCCGTCCTCGCCGTACCTGGGTCCATCAGGTCCTGCAGACGCGCGAGCAGTTTGGTGAGTTTCACCACTTGCTCCAGGATCTGTGCCTGGATGACGGCCGATTTCAGCGATACCACCGTCTTTCACTCGGCCAGTTTGAGGACCTGCTGTCCCGCGTTGGTCCCAGAATCGCCCGCCTAGATACCAACTAAAGGCGCTCAATCCCACCTGCAGAGCACCTGTCTGTCTGCCTGAGGTTAGTAAAAGTGTTTAATACGGTAGTCCTTTATTGAAACCTGTGGTAATATATGCTAAACTATCGTTTATACACTGCTAACATGGATGTGCTATGCTATCAATGAATGCCGTCAGTGTTTACTGATAGCAAACTGTGGTATGAGGACCACTGTGAGTTAACCTTTGTAGTGATACTCACTCCTTTTTATTTAGACCTGGTTTAATTCTGGGATAGTTGAATATTTGTTATATAATCACCACAGACTGTTTTACATTATATCTAATATATATCATGTAATTATCCTTATAATTACAAAATGTTTTATGTAAGATTTATGTTTTGTAATTTAAATCTGACATCACAAAAGTATTTTGGAATTGAAATAATGTATTTGTAACTGCAGTACACATAATACTCATTTTAAACAATTTTGTCCAGGTTCCTTGTCACCGGGGACTCCTTCAGGACCATCGCATTCAGTTTTCGAGTTGGTGTGTCCATGGTGAGCCAGATCATCCCCCAGGTAGCGACGGCCATCTGGTACTGTCTAGTGGACGATTTCATGGCTGCGCCTTCAACTGCACACTGGCGGTCCATTCCAGGAGCGCTGGAACTTCCCTCTCTGCTGTGGAGCTCTGGATGGGAAGCACGTCCAGACGAAGGTACCCACCAACTCAGGATCCATGTTCCACAACTACAAGGGAACTTTCTCCATTGTTCTCCTTGCGGTTGTGGATGAAAGGTATCGCTTCCCCGTTATTGATGTTGGGGGATACGGGAGGACCAGCGACGGTGGTATTCTGGCCAACTCCACCTTTGGTCAGGCTCTTCGGGCTGGGACTCTCCATCTGCCTCCTGACCAGCCTCTACCTGGTGGAGAAAACCGTGGAGCTCAGCCCCATGTCTTTGTGGCTGATGAAGCGTTCCC